ACACTCATGATGATCTTGGAACCATCTCTGTAGCTGACTAGCAATTACGCGCTTCTGCTTGTCTTCTCTCCGGCTCGTGTAAACCGAGCCGCGTCTCCCCGTGATAACATACCGTCCTTCCCACTTTGGGGCCAGCTTTCCCGACCCTGCTCCCCCTGCTATGTTACTTTTTCGTTCTCTACACTTTACTAGGTCCCCCACTGCAAAGGGTTTCCACGTTCTCCTCCGTTGTTCCGCCTTCTTTGTGTCTGATATTTGTTTCTTCTCCACGTTCCTTATTGCCTCCCTCCTCTCTTTTCTTAATCTTGTTGTCGTCCACTTCTGTTGTTGTGGCCAGGTCTTATTATGCATTGGAAGTCGTGGTTGTCTGCCATACATGAGCAAGAAAGGTGACTTCTTGGTTGTTCCTTGTGTGGAGGAACGATGTGCCAGCAAAATCAATGGTAGCTCTTTCTCCCAATTTCCTCCTTTTGATGCTAACCATTCCTTTAACGTCCGATTGTTTCTCTCTGTAAGCCCTTTTGTCTGAGGATGATACGGTGTAGTTCGTACTCTCTTGATGCCAAACTGCTTTAAACGGGCTTTAAACTCGTCACCTTCAAAACAAGGACCCCGGTCAGTTAATATCATCTTCGGTATTCCGTGACACGCTACAATATGTCGGATTACCACCTCGGTCACTGTCTTTGCCCGCTGGTCTGCAATGGGTACGGCATCTACCCAACGTGTAGCATGTTCCGTCATCACTAACAGGTACTGGTTACCGCTCGCCGTCTGTGGAAACGGTCCCATCACATCTACCGACCATAGATCACCGACTGCGGTTACTGGGATTGACTGTAATGGCGGTTGTGTGTATCGATCGCTTTTCATTAGCTGACACTGCTGGCAGGTTAACACGTATTCAGCCACATCGTCTCTCATGCTCGGCCAGTATGCACTTTTTCGTAGCAAGTCCGTCGTTCTCGTGATGCCTGTATGTGCTACCTGGTGACACTCGTGTATTACTTTACGCCGCCAGTCTTTCGGGATCACCGCTACCCAATTCTCATCATCGTCCTGCCAGGTCAGCACTCCATATGAGTTCACTCTCAGTCGGTCCTTTTGCCGAAGCAGCGTTATTACCTCCTTGTCCATTGTTCGTTTGTCTACGTCTGCTCCCTCTTTTATCACTCTGATTACCTCTCGAAGGTTAGGGTCAGCTTTCTGCTGCCGGACGAGTTCCAATGGGTCTCCCTCTAAACTATTCACCGCGTATGCTGTTAATGGCAGGTCGGCTTCCATGTCTAGTCTTGACAAGTAATCCGCCATTACGTTTTCTTTTCCTGGAACATGACCGATACTGAAGTCGTATTCTTGCAGGCGTATCATCCATCACGCCAACTTCCCTCGGGAGTCTCTTGCTGTTTTCAACCACTGCAGGGGTTTATGGTCGGTCTCAATGTGGAATCGTCTACCTAAAAGGTACGGTCTCCATTTTTCCACTGCCCACACGATCGCTAAACACTCCTTTTCGATGGTTGAATACTTCTGTTCAGCAGGTGTGAGGACGCGACTCGCGTATTCCACCACTCTATCAGCCTGACTCAAAACAGCACTTATACCATGATCACTCGCGTCTGTGGCCACCGTAAACAGTCTTCCCGGTTCAGGTAGTCTGAGCGTCATCTGGCGATCGTCTAGCATGTTTTTGATTCGGTTGAACGTTTGTTCGGCAGTCTCAGTCCACGTAAACTTGGTGCTGCTCAATAACTTATATAAGGGTGCTGCTATTTCGTTGAAATTCTTGACAAATCGACTATAGAACGCCGCTCTTCCCAGGAACTGTCTCAACTTTCTTTTCGAATTAGGTACTGCAATATTTTTTATGGTAAGAATTTTCTCCGGCAATGGTTTTATTTCTCCATTTCCCACTTTATGTCCCAACAATGTGACGCTACTTCTCGCTATCTGCGACTTTTCCTTATTAATCCGAAGTCCAAATTCGTCAATTCGCTTTAAGACCGCTTCTACATGCTTGATGTGATCTGTTTCTGTTTGACTGTACACAACTACATCGTCGCCATATACCTCGACGTTGTCTAGATCTTTGAGCAGTAGCGTCATTAATCTTCTGAACGTACACGGTGCACCCGCCAACCCGAACCGCATTCGTTTAACTTGATACTGTTTATCACGTACAGTAAACGCTGTCTTGCTTCGATCACTCTGTTTTATAGGCAGTTGCCAATAGCCTGACCGTAAATCCAGCACTGTAAACACCGTGGCATTCTGTAGCCGATCTAATGTTTCCACCACTGTTGGCATTGCACAAGGCTTCAGGTCTGTTATATTATTCAGTTCTCTGAAGTCGACACAAAATCTATACTTTCCATTTGGTTTCTTTACCAAGAGTACTGGCGAGCTATATGGGCTGTCCGCTTCCTCAATTAAAACTTCTTTCAACATTTCCTGGACCTGACGATTTACCTCGGCCTCTAAATGCACCGGGACACGACGTGTTGCAAATATATTTACTCGACTGTCCTTTATCGGTATTTCGTGCTTTACTCTGTCACAAAATCCATACGGCTCCCCATCTTCAGTGAATAGTTTCGCATACCTTTTGCATAACTCGTGAATGTTTGGTTTCTTCGACGAGACATCCGCTGCAACTCTTATTTCAGCCACTTCGCTACTTTCGTGTATCGTCAATGAACCATATTTCGTGACCACCTTACCGCTTCTTAAGTCAACTATCGCTTTTACTTCTCTTAGGAAATCTGCTCCTAATATCGGTCTCGATAGACTTGTGGTTACCACGAACGGAAAATTTATCTCAGCATCCCCCACTTTTACGATACTGTTAGATATGCCAAACACCTCTAACATATGGCCTCCTATCGTGTGGACAGCTAATGTACACGGTTTGATTCTCTTACATTGCTCTTTGTCTATTAACGATACTGCTGCACCTGTATCGATCAGACAAACTAAATTTCGCTCATTTATGTTCACTCTCGTATATACTGCTCCTCTGTCTACTAACGCAACAATTCCCAGATTCCTAGGATAGAAAGAACACTCGTTGTAACGTCTAACGTATCTGCGACTTCGTCTTGTTGGACAGTTTATATTCCAATGTCCTGTCCCTCCACAAGCGTAACATTTATGGTTCCTTTTATTGTTCACTCGTATTGCTGCAATCTCACACTTTAGCTCCTCAATCTTCTTCTCGACATTACTCATCTCCTGCTTTTCGCACCCGACCGGAGCTACTGTTCGCGACGAGTCACCTTCGCCAGTTCACTGATATCCATCGGCTGCGCTGCGTTTACTAGTTTCAGCTGTTGAGAGACGGTGGCAGGCACACTCTCGATAAACTGTGACGCCAACAACTGTGCCTCCGACTCCTCATCCAGACTCGGCAGCGCACGGCGTAACAATCTGGTAAGCTCCACAGCCAGCACCAGTGGGTCACCATCGACCGGCAACCTCGCCAACCGGAACTTCTGCAGCGCGTCTTCTCTGTCCACTGGGCTGTCAAACTCCGCCGCCAACCGCTCCGTGACTGCCTCCCATGTCGTCTTCCCGCCAGCACCGTCCAAGCTGTCATACACAGCCTTCGCCCTGCCTCTCAGCAGCGTCCCCAGCACCACCAACTTCGCCTTCGGCTCCTTCACTCCCACCAGCTCCGCCACGGCCTCAAACTTCTTCAGGAAGCTCAGCACATCTCCGTCCTCAAACTCCTTAGGCCATGGAATCTTCATCCTTAGTGGAGGCAGCGACACCAAATGTAGTGAAGGAGAACACGGGTGAGGACAACCAAATTGTATTTAGGACAAATTACAGAATTACTTGGTAAAATAGAAAAACCATATATTAAATCGTTAATTTGCAAAATATCATTCTATCATATGAAACCGGACTGTTGCTGTTGCGAACATCAATCCATTGTCTCACATTTCATTGTTCATGCGATTTCTTACAAATTCCGTTGTGTTCTTGTTCTTCCTTTCTTGATCTTCTCCATCTTCTGCTGCCAGACCTTACGTTCTTTTACCTCACGTTATATACTACTTATATCAATATAAGTAGAACGCACCACACTGCGGGTAGTAAAATAATGTTGCCCGTTAATCTACAAGTTAGTTTGTGTAATGTATATAACTTCACTTCGACAACAGTGAATTTCACGTACGATGAAGTTGATTTGAATCCATAAAATGAGACCATAATGCTACCCAACTCATGCTAATACGATTTACGTTATGTCCTTACTAGTAATACTTATTCTCTAACGGATACAATTAGGTTATAGGATGTAGGTGCTATGGGGCCAGTGAAATATCGCTGGGCCCTAGCCAAATCATTTGGGATTCGGTTCACTGAATATCGACCAGATCACGAGTGGGAACGCATCCACACCAGATCATGAGTGGGTATGTTGTGCTATGCATCTCTCACAACTGTCATCCAGTTCAGGCCAAACGCTTATTGATGTATCAATAGTCCTCAAGATATATCGTCCAAGGACTTCATTTCTGACTTCTGATTGACTGTTTTGATAAACTACGAATATATGGGTGTTGTCAAACTCAGAGTACATTTACCATCTTTAAGTCTATGCCATATAGTCTAAGATTTCTCTAACGCAAAATAACACTATAAACCCCAGAAATAGTTATTAAATAAGTGTTCAGTACCTAGGAATCGATAAATGTATTTTGTACATATTAAAGCAACCTTCCCCAGTGGATGTTTAAAGGTCAACAATCAAGTGAGCCACACCCCAGCGTTAAATTTAGCCAAATACGAAACCACTGACAATGGCCTGGCAACAAACAATATTAAAATTAAGTAATAAGGGCAAAACGTTCAGTGGAAGACCAAAACAATGTGGTTAAAAGAGACTTGAGTAATACTTAAAACATAACACAAGCTAAAGAACAAAACAATAGCAATGCTATTCAACAAAACACTCTGGTAGGGTTTTTAGCGTATTCTTTCTGTTACAATGGATGGGTAAGACAAATGAACGTTAATCAGGTGCATAAAAGTCTCGACTTTCGTCGTTATTATACAAATGAGTTAGTTTGAATATGAGATAAATTTTATCGACTTCAACTCGGGATTTCGTTTGAAAGTTGACTCGCACATTTAAAATTTGTTGAAATGTATCAATATTAGTTATTTGTCTAGGTTGAACGCACAGCCGGTATTTTAACTTTCTGTTGCAGTTGCAAGGTAGTAAGTTTTTTATGTTTTTATACTTTCGAGAGGTTGATAAGTAACTATTGATGCTGAAAACATCGTGAAATTTCCTTTCTTCACCGTAAAAACGCAGTGAAAATGCACATGTATTATTGTGTTTGTACTTAAATTCGATAAAAACAACTTAAAATGTACTGCAAATTAGTTAACTTTAAACACACGTGTATGTAAATACGAGACACATTTAAAGTTTATTTGACTGAGTGAGTGAGACTTAAGTGTATTGCTGATCATCGTATGCACAATAAGAAACATTGAATCTTCTAAAAAAATATTTTGGAAATAATTTTAACGGGGGTTGACGTTGACATCAAAGGAGCGATGTAAAAGACTTATAATAAATTGGTTATGCAAAAGTTAAAGGGTTTTCTAATTCATGCAGTAACTAAGGCAGAATCTCTCTCTCTCTCTCTCTATATATATATATATATATATATCATAGAGAGTCGTGGAACTAAAAATAAGCAGAAATGTTACTTGTTGAAATCTGTTTATTGTTGTAATTAACTCTCGGAAAGAGGGCTCAAGTGAAGAACACATATACTCGGTTAAATGACTTTAAGAAAGTCTTTCAAACATTTCCACGTTTCAACAGACTCTTTAGAACATTCAATATTTTTGGCATTGTAAAGATTACGTTATTTTGATCATGGGTGTCTTCTAAGCTTTGCACGTATTTAGTGGACTGACTGAGTAAGTAATGTTGATCTTAGGCGAAGGATACATAAGATAGTAAATCTTCACCAACTGAGGTGGATAAGACATGTGTTACGTATTTCTATCTGCCACATACGTTAATAAAAGATGGCTGTTGATGCAGAGATAGGTTGAACAAAAACTAGAGACGACTAAATCAAACATGGAATCAGTCTATGAAGTCATTAACTATTATATTAAGCCATATTAATAGATGTGGACAACCTGATTCGGTCGGTATGATAACAGACCAGTGAGACCTTGGGTGACATGGCCCAGAACCAATCAAACCTATTCAGATGCATTCACTCTCTATTTTCCTGCTGTAGATCACCAACATAGATGATCTATGTCAAAAATGATTGGAGGCCTACTCGAGTTAGACGTGAATGGTGTAACAAACTAGTTAACGTCGAAGTCACATCTCGTGGTCAGCGCTTTACTTAGACTACCCTATTGACGTATCAAGGTACCATAGATGCTTTGAAGACTGTACAACACAGAGGACGTTATTACAAAAATATATTAGTTAAAGTGGATACAAGCGAAAGTAAGACTACTGCCGCATGGGCCAGTTAACGGCATACGACTAACTGATGCGCGTTGGTTGTCCCTGACCTTGACGAGGATCGATGATTTGCTCGATATTCAATGACCCAACTGCCGTATGATTTGTCTAGGGCTTAGTGACATTTCGCTGGCCCTACACTGTTGATCTTAGACCTCAAAATTCATTCATGCATACGTTTCCAATCTGTCTTTCCAAATAGTGCTCTCAAGGTTTCGTCTTTATTTTAGCATTGCTACTACATTATTTCGAGATCTTTTGTTATTTTTATCTCAATATGCTAATAACGTTCCAGGAAATCGGGCCAACACACGTTTATTCCAGACTGCGTGTTACTGATATCTGTATGGGCAACCGAATTGAATGCTGTAAAGCCTTGGAAAAACAGTACATTGGTTCGAAGGATTAAGAGAAAAAATGTGAATGAAAGCGTGTGATAACTTGGATAACAAAAGAATTGGTAGTAATAGATTTTAATGTTTGTATATAAGAAGTAGTGAATATAAGCACGCTGTAGATGTGTATCAAATCATGAAAATCCAGCTACACACTACTCCTTGGCTTTCGGAGGTTTTTATATCGACACCTTTTATGATCAGAATAACGTTTTGAATCAAAAAATTCCCGAAAATCATCTCAGTAGATTCTTGACATATCTAAACCGATTAAGTAAATTTTAAACCTTACTATTTATTTTAATAGGTAAATCCATAGATTGATAGGAGCATGACCACCATTAAAGACCTGGATAGCAGTTTCGTTCTAGTATGGGACTACTCAACAGTACACATCCACAAACCCTCACGTTGGATTCGAACTCATAACCCTCGATCCCGTGCACGAACGCTTAACCTTTAGACCACTGAGCTGGTATATAACGGTGTTAATGTCTAACTTCGAGTGATCCATGATTTTATGTTTTGTAATCAGTGCTTTCCATTATTTTAAGGGAGGTTATTGCTTAATTTGTTGATGTAATTATGAAATTTCTATCATACAAATAGAAGCCGCTGTAAACAGAGTAGAATACACCCTAATATTTACTGGAGGTAGTCGTTTCATTTATCTTAGCTTTTCGAAAAGCAAAGGACTCCTATATATATTTTATCTGTTTTTTCTTTAAATTCTACAGTGAATTGATCCAATATCAAATTATGTCATTATCAACGTTTTCTAATCTATTTCTTGACGATTTACCAATCCATCGATTTTGTATGTTTTTTGTATTGTTTACATGAAATATATTCGATTTTATAAACCAGCTACAAATGATTTAAATGTGTATTTACAAGACATCATCAATCAACTTTTACATATTAAAGAATCTGAAGATCCAGTAAATGTTAAACTATTCCTATCAAAATAGTATATTTTAGCAGGTTTACTTTTAATAGCATGTTATTATTTTATAGTTTTGAACATGTTATAAATGGGACACATACTATTCATAGAGAATTTAGATATATATCAGCTATTCCCTATAATCGTATAACATTTTTATTTAATTTATGGAACGCTTTCATGCCACTGAAAGATAAAGGTAATGTTTTAGGATAAATTTCTGTCTTACATTTTTACTCTTTAGATTTCACTATTGAAGAATTTTACACAATTGTCCAATTATTTTGTTTCGATTTTCCTGGTGAAGTACTCTCTCATTGTCAAAAGTAATTTACAAATAACTGAATAATAACAATAATAATAATGAAATTTTTTGTAGAACTTTGAATATAGTACACAACTCTACAATAGTTTACCCTTACAAAGATTTGTTTTGTGTATTTCAATTTCATTTCTACTTTGAAGTTATGTTTCATCGTTTTCATTTTATTTTCTTAAATTATTGTAGAATTTGTAAATGCTTTAATTAGTGAACTTACTAAAACTGAGTCAGTTGTGTTGACTAATAAACAAAAGGGTCAATCCAAGTTAGTCGATGAATCAGGTAATTTGGATTGGTCTTTATGGTAATAACAATAATAACGTAGTGTTTAGTACTATATCGAGCCCGCATAGATTATACCAGCTCCTGGGCAGACCAATTATTTCGTTTTTCTCAACCCACATTTCGACCTTGTTGATTATTCTCTTATTAACCCTGACTGTAGTAATTGCTTGCACTATTCATTACATGTTTGTAACTTAATTTTGTGTGAATGTAGATATCGAGCCACTCTTGATCAAAATAAGCTGGCTCTCTTGCCTTCTCGGCTGTGCATCACTTTGTTTCGTTTCCTTATGCTTGCTTCACCTTGTTTCACTGATTGTTTGTCTGGGTGAATAAGTGTATGAAATAGATGTATTCAAAATTCATTCTCATATTTGTCTTATTTTATTCCGTTATTCTCTAACACAGATCAGTTCGATAATTGTATATGAGGGTTGGCGGTATGTGTATTTTGATAACAATCAGCATACTATCTAACTGAAGTCAGACACAGGGTCACCAAAATAGTAACAATAATAATAATTATTACTCAAAGATAACTTTACCTTGAAACTGATATCAATTGAAGAGCCAACAGTAGACAAATAAAGATCAATCGTCACTTGAATAGCTTACAAGTAATGTATTTGATTGTGGCACTAAGTGAAGTGGGTTTAGATTCCATAGACTTTGTCAGTTTTTACACAAAACTGCTTTGTTAACGAGTGTTAGTTAACTCGAAAATTTATTCAAGCGTGGCATTCTGATAATTGTTTTATATCATGTAATATAAGTATTTGCTTTTTCATTCTTCAGCTTTTTGGTAGTTGTTGGTCAGTTCTTTTAAAATTCAGTTAGTAGACATTGTAATTATTATATTAAACAATTACGTTTAATAGTTTTTTTAATGTTTTTTCATACTTCATATAGACATTTCCAGTGGAGACTGTAAATGTTCACATAAATCAGTGGCATCTGAATGTTGTTTTAAGATGAACATATTGGTTGACTTACCAAATAAATATGTGGACTCAATAAAATTTCTTAATTTTACACGTGGGTTGTATAAAGAATCAACTTTATTGTAAGTTGACTGTTTTATATATTACTTAATTATATAAGTAGTAGTTCAAATGGGATATTATCTAAATTATTATGGAAGTGAACTTGAATCCCTTTAAGTATTAAATAAATATCTTATTCTTTTGACGTATAACTCATTAATGGTGTTCATATCAGTTTGGTTTAGTGGGTAGAAATTACCATATCATTGCTGTTTAGGATTCAATGTTTATACAAGAGGTCAAAGCTCATGGTAGGTAGTTCCTGAAAAGAAAAACACCACGTTGACACAAGAATTAAGCTATTAAATAGTTAATCATTATCATGATAGGTGTTAAATCAGATCATGTACTTTGTAAATAAGTTGGAATTTGTTCAACTGGTTTATTTGTGTTATGACAGATAGTATATAGCTTGAGTAAATATTAAAATAGATTTCAGGTTTGAATTTACATATCCATTCTTTTTTCAAGGTATTGCATTATTTAAGCTGTATAGTTCTAAATAACTTTTGAACCGATTTACCGAAACACTTTTGTTGGTAATTTAATATTATGTTATTAGGTACGACCATCTGGGCAATCACAAATGATCAGTGATGCTCATTAAATCAATCATAATGTAATGGACGAAGACTTGGAGATGATAAACCAATTTATTGTATTAAGCAAATTACGTGCCGCATTTGTAAAATATGAAAACAATACACTGAATGCTTCAGTTGCGAATCTTTCTTGAAGTGTGTTCTATAAGCCCTATCTTTCTTTTATCCCTGTCCCAACTTGGACTGCTTTTCTTTTTTTCTTTCCTTCTCATGTTCCTCTTCTGTGAGTAAGAATCCTACTGCTAATTCTTGATACATACCACTTACATCTGTCCGTATAATTAACACACACCACAATAGCAGTGTTTAATTTTATGGAAGGAAAAATCCAAAATACATAATCATTATTAAATTAAAGAGTATTAGGTTGACAACATAACAGGCTGAAAAGAAGAATTTTCACACAGCTAATCTTTTTCTGTCCTATTATAGTCAAGTAGAAGGAGTAAATGAAACAAAGAATGTGTTGGCTTTTGTATGATCTGTGATAATAACTAAATTGAATGAAAGACCAGTTAACATAGTTAACTCACTAACGGGTGGAGTAATTTTGTTCTTTCCGAATTTCCAACATATATGTTGACAAGAATGGGTCCTGAACGACTGTCCATCATCACGCAATATGTTTAGCAGTATAATTTGTTGTTAAATTGGAACTGAACATTTTTAAAGTTTAGTCTCAGTAACTATCCAAGTTGTATTTGTGGTTTAGATGTAATTTGTGAATATTGGTTAATGACCGTTCATTTCAAATGTAAAAAGTGAAGATATGTCATATATTCGTGTTTGCTTTGTTTAAATTTGTGAAGGAGACCTATTGTATGAATATTACCGATTGTTATACATATATATATATATATATATATATATATATATATATATATAATCCAGATATCTTCGGATAATATATTTATAAGATGTATTTTTCAAAACTAATATTTACCTACAGTATTTACTTCATTAAATAGATTACCGCCGAAATTAGTGATGCATAAATGTGCTAAAACATATCTATTTCACTCAGAATTTAATCTATATGGTTTATTCACATCTTTGGCAACAGATCACTTATTAATAAAAGAGATAGGTAAATTAGTATGAATAAGTTTAACTTTTTTTTTGTAATTCTTAACTTTTCAGTACCACTGAATACAATCCTCAGTAATATTTGAATTGTATCTAGGAATAGTCAACTCATTTTGCTCTGTTTTTAGGACTTGTCAGCTGTTTGTCAATACTTACATTGATACTTACTTTACTTACTTACTCCTGTTACTCCCAAAGGAGCATAGACTGCTGACCAGCATTCTACAACCCACTCTGTCCTGGGCCTTCTTTTATAGTTTCATCCAATTCTTGTTCATTTTTCTCATGTCTATCTCCATTTCTCGGCGTAATGTGTTCTTTGGTCTTCCTCTTTTCCTTTCGCTTTGAGGATTCCATGTGAGGGCTTGTCTTGTGACGCAGTTGGGTGCTTTCCTCAATGTGTGTCCTATCCACTTCCAGCGCTTCCTCCTGATTTCTTCCTCCGCTGGGATCTGGTTTGTTCTCTCTCACAGTAGGTTGTTGCTAATAGTGTCCGGCCAATGGATCTGAAGTATTTTGCGTAGACAATTGTTAATGAACACCTGTATTTTCTGGATGATGGCTTTCGTAGTTCTTCAGGTTTCTGTCCCATACAGTAGAACTGTCTTGACATTTGTATTGAAAATCCTGACCTTGGTGTTGATTGACAGTTGCTTTGAGTTCCAGATGTTCCTCAGTTGTAAATATGATGCTCTTGCTTTGCCGATCCGCGCCTTCATATCTGCATCAGATCCACCCTGTTCATCAATGATGCTGCCCAAATACGTAAAGGTTTTTACATCTTCCAAACCTTCTCCGTCAATTGTGATTGGATTGGTGCATTCTGTGTTGTATCAGAGAATCCTGCTTTTCCCTTTGTATATATTGAAACCCACTGCTTCTGATACTTGAACCTAATTCTTATCTCTTCAAATACTAATGCGTTATCGTCTAAGCTAATGAGCTCATATAGCCATTTCTAGATGTTCGTATTTAGGACTGCAGTTGCTTAATCTCTGTTGGCATGTATACATATTCAATAAATATTTATATTATTGCCTTTTAGTTGTTGGGTTCGATTATAATCATGATTATTATTCACTTTGTATGAATAATCTAATTCTAAATATATGTTGACACTAAATTATGTACATTGTATTTAAAGTAAATAATTAATTCTTTTATATTCCTTCTCATATGGTCATTTAATTCTTGTTGTATAAATACATAGATTTAAATTATGTGGGTGAGTTGTGTATACTCTCGAATAAGTGTACTTCAATGAATACTGGATAACAAAAATGAATATGTTTTTTTTAAAAAAAAGTGTACTTTGGTACTTATTTCGGTTTTATAACACTATAACTATGACAATGATTATTATGTCGGTAATTTATGTTAAAGCAAAGTATTAAGTATCACTTATTATGTTTTTACTGTTAAATATGAACTAATTAACCTGCTATTATTTCCCTCATTTCTGATCATGGTATGTTTAAATGAAGCATTTGAATTGTACAGGTAATTTTCACCACAAATTAGTTCTAACTAGAGGACTATAAAAAAAAGTAGTGTCACACAACTATTTTATCTAAGTTAACAGTTTCTCAGTAGCACGATTCTAAGCTTTAGAAGGATCAAATAAACAATGGTAATATTTTTGGACGTAAAAGATAAATTGTTTTATTAGATTATTATACCTTGTATCAACTAGCATGTTTTGCTAATGTTGAACAACTGAAACAAAAGTGGTTGGAGACCTAATAGGAAATAGTTTTATACCAATCTCAAAGGGTAAAGATTTATCGTACTGTAAAGTGTTAGGACTATCATATTTTTCTCAATGCCTAATAAAAATATGAAACTCAGCATTCTTTAGCACTTTGCATGACAGTGTTGCATATAAGAGACTGCTTCTCACTTGGGGTTTCATCTCATTCATCTAAAACTGTTGACATGTGTCTTTTGTAGACACACTACGGTAGCATATCCAAAGTTGTCGGGTGAATAAAGCAAATAAAGTGGAAGCTAGGGATTAAAAGGAAACCCTCGGTGAAAATTATACTTTTTTATGTAGCATTCACTCACTAAATGAACGGAGAAATAATAAATATTGCATACGAATTGAACATTGAAAAATAGATGCCCCACAAATTCACGGATATATATCCTATCTCATTATTTATATAGTTTTAGTTGCTAATCTCCCTCTATCCCTTCTGATTATTCAGTGTACCGATTTTCAATGACGAAACTGTTTCACCAAACGCTACATTTCTATAGAATATACACTGAATCATTTTCGATGAATCAACGAGTAGAATTAACTGAGCTTTTATTATATGTAAACTTTTATCATCTTCAGTTGTAGCTATGGCAACCTAGTAACTTAGTGAATGATACTGTGTTATTTAATGTGATACGTATTGTGTTCTAGTTTCACTGTGAATTTTAACTTTTGGTTCTAGGTAAATCCAATGAGTCTTAAATACTGATAAATGCGCTTTCTGGATTCCACTTCTAGCTATTATACAAAACGTAATCCTAATGTATTAAAATATTATGAAAATTGGACCGTTTACCATCCTTTGCACTGTTAGTGATAATATTTAATCCACTTTGACAAATTTTATAGTACTGTCAAATTATATTTAAATTGCTCCAGCTTACTCTTTAAGGCTCAATTTTATTACAAGGTAGCTTAGTTTAGTAGGTATTAATGATACAAATTTTTTCCTCTTTTAATCTCTCTTCATTGAGTAGAGACGTACACACGTGTGGTGTTTACTGACTTGATTTAATTTGCTTCCGTAAACAGTAATTTTGTTTCAAGGTGGCATACGATTGTGTAACTAAAGAAATAAACCAAATCAATTAGTTTGTAAATATAAATAAGTCCAATTTTGGCATTCACTAATTTATTCCTTTTTTTACTTAAACAGATGTTAATTTATAGTAGTTATTTATTCTCAGAATGGGAATTTGTGGAGATTGTAATAATTTGAATAGTTGAATTCATGAGTCAATCTAAGTTAGAACACCATTGGAAACCTGGAAGTTCTAGTATAGAACTCCTCAACAGTGCGCATCCACGATCCCGCGCGCGGGACTCGAACCCAGGACCTTCGATTTTCTGCACGAACGCTTAACCTCTAGACCAGTGAGTCGACATTCAGTTGCGTTGATGTCTAACTTCGATCGATCCATGATCTTGTGCAACACTTTACTCATTGTCTGAGGTCGATAAATGTCTCCACTCGACACGTATTGGACTCCAGTGGTCACGGCTTTTCATTGGAATACCAGGAAATCCATCTTGAAGCTAGTCACTAGTGAGCACCGCATGCGAGACCGAAAGCCCTGGGTTAAAGTCCCATGTGAGAGATCGTGGGTACGCACTGAGAGGAGTTCCATACCAGGACGAAACGGCCGTCCAGTGCTTCCAGACTTTCAATTGTGTTCTAGCTTAGATTGACTTGTGAATTCAACTATTAAAGATATTTATTGTCTGATGAAATGAAATCGCACTGAAGTGGTGAAACGTCCCTGTATTCGCTAAGGTTTTGGAGATGTTGTATTCTCTGAGCTAGATTGCTTAATTGTGAAGCTTTTATTGTCTATCTAGACAACATCTTAGGCATATACTTCAGAAATAAGTGAGTTATCAGGATTTTTTGATATTTGACTAAGTTCTTGTCGTTTTCATCTGGAATTTAAGTGGTTGTTGTCCGAATTTGTGTGACAGTCATTTACTTCATTCATGCATGAATAAATATACAAACAGAAATCAGCTCAGTATATCAGCTAGTGAGAAGAAAAAAAGGTCAACAAGTTCAGTGATCAGGTCAGGGTAGAAGACAGTCCGAACAACAGTCGTATGACCACAGACAACAGCCAATTAACATCTAAGTCATCGAGCAGAGAATTGTAATAGCTCACTTTATGAGATATATATGATATTGTATAGAAGGACGATAGAAGCCCCACAAAGAATACAAATATCTAGAATCCCCACTTTCGGATACAAATATTCTCCATTATCCACCGGGAATATTGTAAATATACTAGACACTATGTTCAATGTTCAATTTAAATGATATTATCCAAATGGATTTTTGATGTCGATTACTTTTACTGATTTTTTTTATCTTTCTTATGTTTTTTTCCTTGTAGGGTTTCCTCAAGTCTATGGTTCATAATGAACGGATCAGGAAACAGACGAGCTTGATTAATATGATAGGTTTATAAAAATACAATAATTTTATGTATTCAACATTTATAAATAGAATCACATATATATATCATGTAATCAATTAAGATAATATATAAATTAACGCACAGGTTTCATTTTCTTCCTTCCTGTATTTTTTAACTTGATTATTTGTATGATCCGAATGTATAATTTGGGATTTATACTTATTCTGTTGTCAATATTCAATTCTGAATGATGTTTAGACGTTAGACGTGGTTGGAGCTAGTCATCAGGATACCTATTATTCTGGTTTCTTGTTAGTTAGCACTCATTATAAGGCTATGCCTTGTTGACAACTAGCGTGAAACGTAGGTCCGAGGTTTCTAAGTCAATCACGTAACATATAAACTGAATGGACTAAATGTCAGGTTACTTGAACCAGTGGGGACATTGTAATTTGACCTATAGAATTCAATCAGTAATAGGAGGACTTGAAAAACATGACAGATTGGTCACTACTCAGTGGTCAAGCAATTGTAAATATCTGAGTCATACAGAAAGGTTAGTTACGACTCGAATAACTCAGTGGTAATGCCTTAGACTATAAAGCTGAGTAACACAAAATCGAATCCATCAGGGAGCACCAGCCTAAAGGTACACCATGCTGAAACCTAGATTCAGGATTATCTCTCTACTGCTTCCGACCATCTAACATATAATGGGATGTATATTTTTGTTTTGCTTGTAAAAAAGGAGCTACTGAAAACAACAGGACAAATAACACTTCCAATCTAATCTCCGAAAATAACAATTAAAAAATATATACTATTAGTAGCAATGATTTAGTTATACAAACTTTGGGTTTAAGCTTAAACATCAGTGTACATTGTAATAACAAGTTAGTTATGGATATCAAGGGAAGAGAAAAATGAAACGAGAGAATAGTTAAATTTATATCAAATGAAATAACTTCATTTATAAATAAATAATATCTTTATAATATCTCAATGAGTAGAAAATTAGATTTTCTGACGTTTCGTAACTTAGTGTAAGTCACTTCTTCAGAGAATAAATAACCAACTTAACAATCTACCCAATGTTCAATTTATTTGAAACTTCATTTATAATTTATTTTTAAAGGAGAAAAAAATTCCAAAAAGAAAAAGAACAACTTGAACCGTTTAATTCTGAATTATGTAAGAGAATGATCAATCACAACGACGTTGTTTTTTTAAAAAGTTTTTTAATTTTAATAAATGGATACTCATATATATAGTACTTGTGAATGTGTGTGTGTGTGTATCTATGTGCATTTGTGTAATGATAAATGAAATGAAATTATATACAACTAGTGTGATGTCATATTAAACGTCATCTAAAAAGTCGACTTACTTACTTATGAAAAGATTAATGTTTACTATGTGTTTAATTGACACAATAATAATAATAATAATAATAATAATAATAATAATAATAGTGATAGTATAAGTATTAATTATGTTTGTTAATATAAAATACAGAGATTGTATTTTGTTAAATGTATACGTATATAATTTTTACATATAATTCATCAAGTGAATTGTATATTTGAACTATTATTTAGAAATGAATTAATACACACACACACAATTATTGCGTAATCATTTCAAACTAAATTGAATTATCCGGTTATGGGTTGTGGAGATTGTTACGTTTTCGATTGAGATCATGCACCGATTGATGTTAGACCAACATTGAAAACCTAGAAGCATTGGACAGCTGTTTCGTCCTATTGTGGGACTCCTCAGCAGTGGGCATCCACGATCCCGCTCGCGAGATTCGAACTCAGGGCCTTCAGTCTCACACGCGAACGCTTAACCTACTTGACCCTTGGGCTGGTATCCAATGGTGTTAATGTCTAACTCCAACCAATCCACAAAAGTCCGCGACCATCTAGTGAGAAGCCGTGACCAGTGGAGCTAATCCGTGTTGGGTAGAAACAAGTGTCTACTTCAGTACAATGGAAGATGGTCGCGCAATTTCCTGAATTGATTGAGGTTAGACATTAACACCATTGGATGCCGGCTCAGTGGTCCAGTAGATTAAGCGTTCGCGCGTGAGACTGAAGGTCCTGTGTTCGAATCGCGCGAGCGGGATCGTGGATGCCCACTGCTGAGGAGTCCCACAATAGGACGAAACGGCCGTCCAGTGTTTCTAGGTTTTCAATGTTGGTCTAACATCAATCGGTTCATGATCTCAATCATAAATTAAATTAATTGGGAGTATACTAATATTTCATGGTGAATTCAAGATGTATTTAAATCGCTTAAATTTGTGTTTTCACTATTTATATTTATTTATGTACATAGAAGCTGGTGAAAGCTTTGTATTCATGTTTTGTCAAGCAAGAATGATGACTTACTTTTTTTAAAATTAATGGTTATTAATGAAATGCAGGATGTTGGTTTCTTATTATTTGTGATTTGTTCCAGTATTGATATTCATATTGAAGCCTCCACCTCATTATATTTTAATCTAAACAGTAGACATTATTAGGGCATTTTTTAGGGTTTAAATATTCAGACAGAAACTGATCGAAGTCGATTTGAATATCGCTATTAATAGGTACTGCTTTATTTTAATCTTATCAGTCATTCATTTGATTTTTTTTTAAATATGAAAGTAAATTCACTTTGTATACATATTATTAAGTGAAGTAGTTGGAAGGCATCACCTAGGAACCCTGAACTTAGGTTTCATGCTAGTTGGTACTTGTCAGCAAAGTATATATATAGAATCTTGAGAGATCTAATGGTCCATGTGAGATGTAAATCCATGTTACCCAATTTTATAGTGTGAAACGTTGACATTAACTCATTTAGTCTATGACTGGTCAAAACAAATCTTATGATCAAATGAAATACAGGCCATGATGGAATACAATCAATCGTATTCTGTCTTAAATAAGGAGTGAATAAACATTTCATTGGTTAATACTCAGTGATCAATAAGTGTGGTAAATAAGTAAATATATATGTAATCATAGAATTAATTGTTTATGGTTATTGGATGCATAAAAATTATTTATTCATAGATGAAACATAATTCTCTGGTTAAGTACTGAATCTTAATTATTGATCTGCCCCACAATAATCCAAATGTCTACAGTATTCAACATGTCACATTATTATACTTCGTAGGGATGGACTGCAATTTTGACAACTGTTGTTGTCATAAGGTGATATCAATATGGGTCTTGGATGAAAACCGCCACAGAGTTACATTTCAATATGAAACAGCTGTCTAATACTCTTTAATTTTCGATAATTATTCAACTAGTTTCAGTTAGTAATAAAAATCATCTTCCAACTATGGGTGTCTGTACATGAAATGCACTTCATTAAATTTCAAATAATGTTAGAATACGATGAATTCATTATATTTCGTTGTTTTCTATTCGGCCATATACAAGCTAATAAGTTAACTTATTTCCACTTATTAATGCCTCAAACTCTCTATATTAATCTACATCAACCTGGAAAAGCATACACATAGAAAGGGCAGAACGACGAAGATCTAGGCGTTTTTGGTAGGCTTATTTGTGTGAACATATGTTATTGCGGACTAAATGGTCTTTGTAGTTCGACAGCACGATACCTACTTGAGATGTGGTATAAAGTGGATTCAAAATAACCTATTCACAGAAGCCATAGAGATTAGGTGGCATTAATCTGACTTTTATATTCAAAAAGAATACGTGGTTAATATTTGTTTGACGTCGTAGTTGAAGCATTTTGACCTCTTTTTTCATCTATTTTCTTCAGTTAATTATTACAATTGAATGTGTTTAACTCAGATTCATGTTTTTGGATTAAACCTCCTAGGTTTTGTTATATTATGTAGTAGAAAAATTATCCTAAGTATCGTAGAACTTTCATTCTAAGCATTAATGAAAAACCGTGTTAAAATTTTGATTTTTTGACTACTTTTTATCCCAATTAACTTGTTCTTTATTTGTGCACAGTTCATTTCTTTACATTCCACATTAAAAGTTTGAACTTGCATGTAGCTGAACAGAAAACAATGAAATACACTGAATTTGCCGTATTCTGCAAGTTATTTCATTCTTGTTTGGCTTAAAATTGTGAAGTAAACGAATTACATGAAACTGCATTAAATAATAATTATATATTTACTACTAACTAGCTTCCAAATAAATTTTCAAAATTTAGTTTGAAACCGCTGTCACTCAACTCTGTCAAGTCGTTACTGAGACGATCTCGATACTACTGATTAAGTATTGGGCAATATATCCCTGACTGAATGAGTTTGAAAATGTTAACCATGGGATTTCTCCTCTGAAATGTATAAGTGTATCGTGTCCACTGTCTACATAGTGATTTCGTCATGGTATTATATAGGGTCATGAGTGCACACTCCTCTGGAATTTCAAATTTGGATTTTAAAAATAGTTATTCAGTGCTTCGTAATTATTAAGATAACGCAATGAGATGATGAAGTTTATCACAACCATGTTTTACGTTTTGCATGACAAGACATTGATGTACGGAAAATATGAGGTCGAACTAAACAAACTGGTAGGTAAGGAAAACATGTAATCAGAAAAAGCATGATAAATCACAATGCTCTGGAAATTAAACCAATACCACCTCGGCACATTCACTTTAAGCACTAATTGGTGTTAAGCACAAAGAAGGGAAGGTTCAAACTTTTGTATGATTAAGGCTTCAACAAACCTAAGTGTTAGCCCTGCACAATATTTTACAAGTCAGTCACTTCACATGTCTTGAGAGTTTCATCAGTTCTGTCAAGTTGGTGTCTGACAAAATCTCGATGAAGATTCAGAAAGCTCAAATGAGCCTACCCATGGTGCGGACAGGTTATCTATTAGTTAACGTAAGGGTGAATTTATTGCATATCAATGCGCTGTGTGTTACTTTGCAGTTAAGAAACATAGCTAAAGAAGGTGGAAGACATGGATGGGGTACGTGATATTGATTATAGATG